ATGAAGTTGTGTATGAATTGATCAGAACGAAATCATTTCTAGTAAGTGCCTTACTTCTCCGTTTCTGATCTTGCTGGCTAGCGTAGTTGCGCTTAATTTTAATAGTGGATTTTTAATTGGAGGTATACTCGGCTTTTTCTTCCAATGAATAACCATGAGTACGAGACGATGAATGCTGCCTATCGCTTGTACCAAAATTATTATTAGGTTGATGAACGCCTCTATCATCTTTCCTGCAATAGGAAACATTATTTATTAAGCTGCTGTTTTAAGCTTGCTAGGATAATTAAAGGGATGGAATGATTTTTTATAGTATTCGATTGTACTATGGTACGATACATGTCCGTAATTAACCACGTTCAATTATACATGATAAATTTTCAAACTCGATTTCTTCGAACACTAAATCTTAAATGAACAAATTTTATCCCATATTTTGTTCTTATTTTCTCATAAGGGATCATTCCATGCCCGCTTGTACGTGTTATGCGACTGCACTTTGTATAAACGAGAATATGTGTTGGGTTGACAACTAAGTGATTGCGGGTTTTGTCAATAGCTGATATTGACAAAATCTGCAATCACTTAATTACCAACCCAATGTTATTGCGCTCTTATATAAATTCTAATTACATAAGCTGTTTGTCGGCTGAGAAGTTCAGATAAACGCATTTTTTATTAGAACATAGGTCCATTAAGAACAAACATGCACGTTTAAACCTCTCTTATTTGACTCACATGTGACGATTAAGTTGCTAGTTTTTCATATTCTATTGATTTCTCATATCTAAAAAAATTAATAAATATTCAATGAATAATATCATAAGGTGTACGTTGTAGGTTGAATTAATCTTTCTTTGTGGAATTTTTAAATATATGCTTGGAATACTTCCGCTTCGCGTTGCATATTTCAAACCAGATAATTATTTTTTTAAATCAACAATGACATGTCCGATTTATCAGACATATTTGACACGCGATTTACATCTTCGTGAGAAGCTTGTGTTTTATAGACTATTCTTCTATAATTTCATGATTTACGTAAGAGAGTCAAACGATTCTTAGCCTGTAAATTTTACTTACAAATTTACTCGCTAGTCGTATTATTAAAATTGTTTCGACCATAGCAGGGAATTTACTGGCTCCAATAATTTCTCACTTATGATTCGTGAAATTTCATTAATAATATTACTTGAACAGGGGGAGACAAGAAAGAAGAAATATATAATATCGCGAGTTCCTAAATGTTTGATCGAAAAATTATAGACGTATGGACAGGAATTATTGGGCCATATTTTTGTCTACAAAGATGATAACTGCAACACGTTTGCGATTTTTACGCTCGCATTTCCTAAACGACTTACGTGACAGGTTACTGTACACTATGACATAGTCTTCGCTTCATCGATTTTATGCACGATGGCACTCCGCCTCGTCATAGCCGATCGGTACGACAATGTTTGAATGAAAAGTTTGGATTACCGTGGACAGAATGCACACCTGCTCTTCACGTGCGGTCCCTCTGTTTATGAGACTCGATGAAGAAATTGTTTATTGTTCAAACGAACGGATTGCATCCGTCAAACAATTACAACATCCGATCGAATGTGGCTTTTACGATACAAAATACAAAATCACTAAGTAATCTTGAGCAAGAACTTAGCAAAACTAGAAATGCGAGATCGGGGCTGCTTAAATAAGCAGAAAGTAGAGAAGAAGAAAAAAGGGAAGAGAGAAAGGAAGATATGAGATACACATATACATATATAATAATGGATCCGGAGCATTTACGTACTACACGTAGATAAACACGTTGCTACAAAAACACGTCTTGAATAAAATCAGTCGAAGAATTATTAAAACTTGGACATTTTTTTCCTAGGAGAAGTTTTTGCTACTCGTAGTTCCTTTCAAGCTTCAGTTTCTCGTGGCAAGTGAGATATATCGCGATAAAAAACGTTTGAAAATCACGATCAAGATGAATTTTACATGAACTTCTCTTTATTACAAATCTCCATCGATCCAGAGATATAAAAACGCAAATCGGTGTCTTTTAGACTTACTTTTTATACACTCTGTGCATACAGTCAATTTATTCGAGATTTAGCAGTATTTACCCGTGAAGGAAGAACATAGCAACATTGAAATACAGTACAGTGTTTATTGCAACATAAATCACCAGAAATCTATGCAGTTTTTACGGTTTTCTTAGAAATACTTTTTCTCGTTGCAGTGAATGTGCACACAATCTTTGACTTCCGCGTTTCTTCCTTTTCCCTGTACGTGGCACCTATGTATCTGTTACGTGATATCCGATAACGAGCTTCGAGCTTTTGGTTCGTAAGTAATAAACTCGTAAGGAAAATACGATAAAGTTTCGTCTTTTCCCGGTTTCGGTATATTTCTTCGATGTGTTTCAATATTTTTTATTTGAATATTTTATTGATCAATTTATTTTCTATATGAAAGAAGATTCTTTCACAAGATGATCTATTATTCTCGTATCGTTGTGAAAAATCTATCCTGCTGCGAAAAATCCACGCGATTTTTTAAATCCCTTCCGTGAAGACCCCGGTGAAGAAATAAATGACATGGTTGAAACATTTCCTCGTTCGTATCATGCTTGTTTCAGAAATATTATTTTCTCATATTATTTTTCTTATATTGAATAATATTATTAATATTATTTGATATAAGTACTCTAGAAAGGAAATAAATTATTAAGGATACTGATAACGAATATTCGTGCGTTAACCTACAGGTCGGTCCCCATCGAATGAACATATTCGCAAACAGTGTTCTCGAACATGGCCAGACAGTGGGGTTCGAACTTTAGACTAACACGTGAATATTCGTTATCAGTATGCTTAATAATTCTTTTATTCATCTCCTATGTAATGGTTTTCATCGTTTAATTGTGACAATAAATAACACGTATACGACGTAATTAGCTTCGTGATAATTATTAGTTACATTTTTATCGGTACAACGTGATGGACAGTTACGTTCAGGAAATTTTTCTCTCTATATTCCATCCTTTCGTCTTAAACATTGATAACCTTTGTTAAATGAAATGTGAATGGCATATCTGTTTTTTATTACTCTTAACAGATTATTATAAACGGACGATATAGCCAAAGTTAAAACAAACTTAAAACACTCGTTATGTTGTAACTGTAATTGTTATTAGTGACAGGGAATAACGTGTCAGGCCAAATACGCAGCCATTCAAAGGCATATAATTTGTAGTAAATAGTAAATAGTTTTGGCAGATAGACGCGTAAACATCATATGGAGGTCAATATCTTCTTTCTTTTTTTATTAGCGTTATGTTATATAGCGATTTATTATAGGTTTACGTTACTCCGTTGTATGATTTGTTTGAGCCTTTTCATCTTTAGTTCTTTCAACTCTTTAATTTATTGTATTTTTGTATTCTTTGCTATTTTTTTTTCAATCTTTTTCATTTAGTTCCAACGCGAACAACTTGGACGTACAGCGTGTACAATGCGCGCTGTATATATCGTGCTTATTGTGTACTTTGCTTGCTATTTTTGCTATCAAACGATTGCTATTTTTGTAGCGATATTTTTGTGAACTGTCTAGACATTTGTTTACACAGTCTAGATAATCGTTTATGCAATCGAAACATCAGAGGAAACGTTAAACCTCTGTACACAAAAAGTCCATGAGGCGGTTTTCGGTATGCTGTTATGAAACGAATAGGCAGGTATAATGCTTAATCTACGATTTTTCTTTCAAAAGGTCGCACAGAATGCTTTACGTTTTCAAATGTCATAATCTTCTTGTTTACGACTTATGCATGTTGTGGATTCTTGTGCACGCCGCTGTTTCAGCTGACCCACTTTCCTTCGTGTAAGAAGGTTTGCTTGCGCACAGGGATATTTCAGCTAATTTTTAATTATTTATAACTGAGAAGCAAAGTCGAAGATGCAATTTTTTATTCTTGATTTTCATCTTATTTTAGCTTCAAGAATCACCCCTTAAATTTTTTCAACTTATCGCCGAACACCCTGTGTACTTGAACGTGGAAAAAATCTTGGTTACGGATGTATCTTAAACTAATTAACGTTCTGTATATCGTTGCATCAGGTTATTTTCTAAAAGGGACAATCGGATAAGTGAGATATCCGGTAAACTTTAGGAGAATATAATAGCAGTTTGAATACGTAATTCATGATCAATATGCACATAATCATTTTTTCGCTCGTCACAAGGTCACTCTAATTTCCTAAATTAAACGATACATCCTTTTATGTAATATTCGATGAATTTTTGAATTCTCTACGAAAAAGGTACTCGAAGTACTTGGGATCGAAAAATGATTAATTGAAAAATAATCATTTTTTACCTCAAGTACCTTAATACTTTTTTGTGGAGGATTAAAAAATCCATGGGATGGTGCGTAAAAAGATGTGCTGTTCAATTGAAAAAAATAGACGTAGTCTTCGCTTTTCATCGAGATAAAATTCCTAATTGTGCGATTAATAGAATTTCTCAATATCCGAGAAAATTTTCAGTTTTAGTAGAACTTACCTTGTTTCCTTCTACCAAATGAAGATCGGTATTTATGGAAAATACTTTGACACAAACTTTGACACAAACTCGAATAAAACAAGATTCTCACTTTCTTTATTGTTAAATAACACTTTATGAATACGTCATTCTTAAAGTTCTTTACTTTACGATTATCAATGAATGAATCGTTCGCAGTGAACTGACCGACTTCGATCGACTTTTAATGCTCTTCTGATAGCTGCTGTGTCCGTGTTACACTCAAGCACACTCTCAGCTGTTCATGAAGACGTTTTTTGCTGTCATAAGCTCTTAAATGGAAATGGTGCAATTTTATCGTTGTTCACTAAGTTATGTAAATTGATCTATGAATAATTTAATTCCTTTACTGAATTATTCAACTTTAATTAGACGTAAGAAAGCAACGAGGAAGGAAATTTTTACGTAACAAAAATAAATGCAAATCATTTTTATGAATTTTATTTACATCAACTATCAGTTACATAGCTCTGAATCTTTTTGCAGATGTAAGTACAGAGTCATGAAATGTAATTCTTTTTACTCCAATTCTTCTGATTGTTCATTAGCTTTTTAAACGGTTTACGTTTAACGACTTTACAAACTGGCGCGCGTGATAATCGAGAAACTAATTTATTAAATCAGCTTCGGACAAAGCTCGTTCGCTTCATTGCAAATTTCTCCAACGATCGAAGGTCAAATTTTTATTTCGTTATTTATTCATAATATCTTTACCAACGATTGTAAATTCGACTTATCCCTAAGCTATTTTAGGGTAGAGCCAGACTAGCCACTTCCCACATGTCATAAGAACAGCCTATATTTATTACACATCTTAATTTCTATCGTAGATTCGTTCACGTTTGAGGTATCGCAATTGTTCGTCGTTTGAACGAAGAAGCACACGTTCGTTACCGTAGTCTCTTCGCCGATCTTATCACGTCAAATACACTCGATTTATCGCGATGGATCCTCGTATCGAAGTCTTTATCGTCCGATCAAAGAGAGAATCAAACTTGCAACTCGATCATCGGTGGCAGCTGCCAACCACCGAAGGCTTTGTCGATCTCTTCAGCCACTGCGATCGTAAGATGATCGTTGCCCGCGTTTGCCATGATCTGCATGAGGCAAATAAGGATGAAAACGCATTACGCAATGAACTTAGAAAGGTGCATGCGAAATGTCATTACTCTGATGCTTGAATTTCACAGGTACAGAGTAAATTACTTACTTGAAGGCCAACAGGTAAACCCTGTTTGTTGAGCCCCATTGTACAGTGTGTCGCTGGTATTCCTAGTACGTTAGCGACTGTCAGATACATGAAATTGAAGATATTCGGGTAGGTTTCGTTCGAGTAATAGGCTGACGATACGAACGTTGGGAATATCAGTACGCCGTTATCACCTAGTAGCTCCTGCAATAAAAACGTTTATAATTTACCGTAGGAATGATAGACCGGATGACTATTACGGGAAGTTGAACTATTATTTTATTGCTAGGTAAAAAGAGACGTTCGACCATACTCGCTGGCTAAGACTCTCTTGTCTTCGCGCGATCACTCGCTGCAAACGCACACACACACATACCCATGCACATCCTTTTTTGCTTCAGCCTTACAAGGACTCTCATCACCGATAGTTCTGTCCCCTTAAACTATCTACAATGTAACATTTATCCTAATTTATACAACAACGCTACGTTACTTTTAATAGGAAGCATTGATATGTTCGCTAACAGGTACGCCTAAGATACACCAACAAACAAGTGTTAGTTTTTAGATATAAAATGGTCAACTTTTATTTTAAGAAATTAACGTGGAAGGTTACTTGAAAACAGAAACAACGCTGCATCTCGAAATCAGACATTGTCGTAAAGGATACACGAAATTTCTTGGAAATTATTTCAAGCCTGTTAGTACATCTGTTTTACTTGAAACTTGCTTACCTCGAATTGTTTCTTTAACTCGTCCCTCTTAGCGGACACTTCGCGTTCATAACTCTCTGATAATTTATGATATACCCATTTCATGACGATATATGTAATTGCAGAGAGCGTATTCTGCGACATGCCACAAATGGATTTCAATTCTTCAAGCAGACATCTACTCGATCCCTGCGCGATAATCGCTTGCTGGTTATATTGGAAAGCTTTCAAAGGAAGCGCGACGTTAAACGCGTTCAACGCGTTCCATTTTCCGTTAAATTACATTTTTATAAATTAAAATAGTAAAAAAAAAAAAAAATGAAGAAGATGTAACCCACCGGTGGCCCCCGCCGCCAGATAGAATCGCAGATCGTGTTAATGGTAACTCACCGCGCATTTAATATCATCCTTGATGTCATCGAGATTCACCGACAGCATAAGCGATGCCATGTTAAGCATAAATTTCATGGCAGGTAACCGTGCCTAAAATTACATATTTTCGTAAACGTATCCTTAAGAAAGAACTGAAGAATCGTATACGTCGTTTTCGACTAAAGTTAACCATCTCATTTTTATCATTTCGAAATCATCACGAAGATCACCAGATTTAGAACCTATACTCTTTCGCGATTTATTCATTTCGAAATGACTATTCGTTGATAGATGGAATTTCAAACGCCTATTTCTTCTCGGAACTCGTCATACACGTACTTGGTGCGAGCACTTAAACCGATAAAATACCTTTTCCACTTTGAGACCGTACGTCGTTTCGATGTGGATCCTCAGCTTCTTCATCGCCTGTTTTACATCTTTGCTTATAGAGTCCGTTACCACGCAGCAGTTCTCCAGGTAAAAGAATTTCATGTCTTTCAAACATACCTACAGCAGTAGAAATTCCAGGAAATATTCAGCGAAGATAATCAGAGATTTACTGGAGACGCGAACACTTGAAAAATGAGAAACGAAGTTCCCACGTACTTCGTGCGATATTTTATAAAAATGTTAACTACTGTTGAATAAAACTACCGTAAAGAAAGCAGTGGATGTTATAAACGAAATATTATGAAAGTGTTTTTACGTTACATGCTCAAATAATACGAAACCGTGTTAAAACTATTCGATGTCCAATTTTAGATCGTTCCTTTGTGACTGTTCATCTCTCACAAAGCTTTTTATAATATTGCTTGTGATATAATACGCCCATAAATATCTTCTGCGATTAATGTTCGGATAGTTTCCCGACTCAACGCATAATTTGAAGAAACCAGTTGAGAATTAAACGATACCGCAGTCTTTGATTGTTTACGGAAAGACACAAGAGAATTGAGAATTTAACGGCGCGGAAATTTCGTAGTATAAAGAGTTGAGCAACCTTCTGCTCGAACTTCCTCCACGTCTCTTCCGACTGACACATTATCTTCATCATAAGAGACAAATCCTCGGCGTATCTGACCATCGTTCCTGGTGTACAGTACAGGGTAAATGATTCATCATGAGAATATGGCTTATGGCCCTCTGTAGAGATCAGACCTGCAAATTTATACAGTGAAAATGATATTTTCTTATCTTCCATTCTTCCCGATTCGATATGTAATCAACGGGAATATATATTCGACGAAGACTTTGTAGGACGATCGTGAGTTTGGTTAATGGATATTTTACCGAGTGTCAGGATTTACCTGACGTGGGTCTGTGACCAAAAATACCGCAGAACATGGCCGGAAGCCTCGCAGAACCTGCGACATCCGACGCGATGCCCGCGATGGAGGCGGCGGAGCTTATTAGTGCTGCCTGAAAAGAGATAAGAAAAGAAGAAGGGAAAGGAGGAGAGACCGCAAAGCCACGTTATAATTTTCATTCGGCGAATTATAATCCTACGCTGCGTGAAAATAAATGAAAAACGAAGAGAAGCAGAGAACGACGGAGACGAAAAATTAGAAATCAGACTGTGATCTTATGCCGCCTAAGAAGGAACAAGAAACAAAGAGAAAGCAAAAAGAGAGGAGCAAAGAGGCTGTATTATAATCGTAACTCGATTATTCTTCGCTTTTTCTAGACGTAGAAATAAAATAGAGGAAGAGTCGATTTTATTTTTGAAAATTACATTTTATGTAATGTCTGATGTGAAGTCTGTTAGATCTGGAGGTCTAAGCGACCTCGAAGCTTTCCATACAGAAATATAATGCAGGTTTCTTGGAATGATTCTGTGAGAAGACGAATGCAGTTTAAATAAATACAAACCTCGCCACCGGAAGAGCCACCGGGTATCTTTCTGGTGTCATAAGGGTTTCTAGTAGTACCAGTAACTTTGTTGCTAGTTTCCCAGTTCAGACATAGCTCGGGAGTATTACTGACGAGAAGGACAATAGCTCCAGCCTTGCGTACCATGCTAACAACTACTGCGTCTTTAGTCGCTTTCTGTGGAGATTTTTTCTTCACGCCGGCCATATGCGACATTCCTGACAGAGGATGAATTCGATGAACTTAATTCTACTCGTATCGAATAAGTCATCGGTTCTTTCAAGCAAACGTGATTTACTTCTCAACGATGCGCGCGATGCTATTTGTTATCGGGCAATTAAATTGCATCGTAGTAAATTATATTAGGAAATGGGTAAATCGTAAAGCGATAAATATACTTTCTTTGATACGATAAAAACTATCGACGAAGTGTGTAACTACAACGGCGATCGAGTTAAAATTAATGAGCTTAATGATTGAACGATTAAAGGCGACTCAAGGTCGACAATGTTTTTATGAAACTTTAATTGCACTTCTTGTTTTAAACGAAGGGAAGGAAAAAAGAAGAAGAAAAAGAGAAAATGAATAGACAATATGTTAATAGACAAAAGATGGAAACGAGAATACAGGAAACGTATGAGACACGCGTTACGAGCTCTTTCGTACCTCGCATTCGAAACACGAACGATCATCGACGTTGCTTCGAATAAGTTCACCTTCCATTTACAATCGGTATCGTTGTATGTAAATGTTTGTTTGTCCCGTTTAATCGTGACTGCTCAAGGAAAAGGAAAAGAAAACACCGGAGAGAAGGGAGTGAATAAGTCGTTGCCGTGCGTGACTGAAATGAAAAGTATCGCACGATTTCTTTCGTTCGTTTCGACAATTGTTACCTTCGATGTTAAGGACATTTTTGAACGATAGCTACAACAATGATTTCCTTCTCTTTCTTCTTTTTTTTTTTTTTTTTGAATTCTTTAAAGCTAGGACCGTCGATTGTACTATATAAATACGTGGCAAGTTACGCGCACGACACAATATAACTGAAAATAGCTTCAAAATATTTGGATTTGGAATGTTTTTAAAAACAAGCTGTAGTTTCCCTTGCGATAAATGCTGCGGACGACGAAGAAGCCGTGTGAAATGTGTATTCGATTATTCTGATTAATCCGATTCAATCTTCTGATTAATCGTCTTCGTCTAGACGAAAATCTGACCCGTTAAAAAAGATTGGACGAACCTTCAACGGCGAAACTTTCTTTCACAGTTATGGGTACGCCAAGAAAAGGCGTCTCACGAGCAAGTTCCTCCTCGGTTTTTGTGGTGCTCGCTAAGAGCTTGTCAACTTCCTGCGCTTCCTGAATGGCTGCGCTGAAACGCGACTCCACGATAGCGTTTATCACAGGATTTACGTCTCTGCATCTCTCCACATAGGCTCTCACCACTTCCTCGCTGCTGATCTACGAAAGAGATACTTTGCATGAAGTATAGTATCCGGATTGCGAAACTTTTCGTGCGAATGTGTCTTTTCGCGGGCATTTCAAGGTCGCTACAGGCCGAAAATTGGACATGTTTCGAATATTTGGTCTTAACCGGAAGGAAATCCGCGTAAGACCGTGAACGTGCAGAGCGATAAGCGGCAAGACAAGCGGTGGTACAGCCAATGCCAATGCCGCAAATGCCATTTCGCCGTTTTATTTTTACCGTTTATAGCTCTTTATACGATCGCGGGAAAAGATAAAAAATAACTCGATCCTAATCCGATAGTCGCGAGTCAAATGCGCACAGAATCATAGAGTAGCTGAAGAGTAGCAAATTTGAAAAAAGGTACAACATACGGATTTTTCACGCCTTATTTCCGTGAAAAACGACCATAATTTTCAGCTTCACCGACCTGAGAAACACGTAAAAGGTGTCGTTTTAATATCTTGCAGTCCGGTTACCACGCTAGAGCCGATATTTTTAATCGTTTGCGAATCGTTAGAGATAAGATCGTAATTATTCTTTCGTTCATCCACTTCCGGCTTAATCTCGAAGAAGATTTTTGTGCATCGGAAAAAAGATTTTAAATTTATTTAACGAAAAAAAAAATGTCTCCGAAGGTGCAATTAGAAATTGTTTCGTAAATTTGAATATGAAAACGATATAATTTATTATCGATGAAAACCGAATTAGAAAATGAATTAGAAAGCTCGATAATTAAATTATCGAGATCAAACTATTAGCGATCGAGGAGAAATCAATTTGTATTCATCGGTTGAGCCGTTATCGCGTCCTCACCATTTTCTTGCGAATCTGTCGCGCAATTTCTGTCGCTGAAATCAACAACAGCTGATTCTTGATCGCTGGTATTCGTTTCCGCTTCTTAAAGTATTGCAGTTTTAAAATTGGCGTCACGATACAGCTTAGCATAAACACAAGGTACTTTAGCAACCTCTGAATCACCAGGTTTACCATATCCTACAGAAAAAAAGAAACATAAAATTAAGTTGCTACATTTGCATGTTACGAAATTTAACGCAGTTTATGAGAATATAAGACGAGACGCAGAAAAACGTACATTAATTAAAACTTCCGTATCTACATTCGCAGTGGAAGTTCATTAAACCGATAATGATAGTTCAATTAATGGTATTCATACATTAAATGAGTGTGGCGGGTAATAAAAATTAGTGACACGATAATTAAAGAAAATGACGCGTTATATTGAACTGCAACAGATACAGATATTTTCCTGTCGCATTTCAAACTAGATTTTCACTTTGAAATTTTATGGAATTTGTACGATGAAGGATCACAGTATCGTACGATTATCGCATAATTAATTTAACGATCAACGATGAACGATTAATTGCGACCATATTTGCGTCGTATAGAATCGTTCGAAGGGTTTCTTTTGAAACAAACAATCGAGAGAAAGTTCGACATAGAAAGTAATAATCATTAACAGCCTAATGCCAAACTACTTGAACATTGTTTTAAGTAAAAGTTCGTCTGTTAGCGACTATAAAATACAGAGGATTTTTAATGTAGAAGAGGAGCGACGTTATGACATAACTTGGATGAATGTATGACAGATTTGCATAATAAATTCCTGCATAATAAATCCTTATCTTTATAGATGATCTCTATAATGGATCTCTATAATGATCCCTATTTTATCTTATATTTATCTGTAATAAATATTAAAGTAGTTTGGATTAAACCTATCTTTCATTCGATCGCAATTTCGTCTCGTCTAGCGGACTTCGATCGTTAAATATAAAACAGGAATACTTTTAATTTCACACACAAAATGCAATACATAGAAAACTCTACATAATTTGAAGATTCACCTAATGCTAATTAAACATTCGACTAAGCTTAGGTAATTCTTTACAGTCGAAGTCTTTTCAATTTTACGCGCAAAATATTTCTCATTGATAACTATTCATTCTTATTCTGAGCATGCAGCTAATGGTAATTAAACATTCGATTAGTCTTAGGTAATTCTTTACATTAGTAGATCTTTTCAATTTTACATACACCATATCTTTTATCGGCGACATTTATTCGAGGATTTTTAACGAATTTCGAAAACTGCGATTATCAATGCAAATCGTTACATTCTGGAAATGTCATGTCCCGGCGAACGTGAAAGCGAACCTTTAAGCAAACATTCTTCCCTAATCGCTGTCCCGTGTTTGCTCGGCCGCAATTCCAACTCGTTGGAAATGTCTATATGCACCTTGCACATATATACTTGCAAATGATGTTATGTTAGTCATTAATGATTCGTTGGTTTTCGATTATGGCTCGTATTATACGATGAGGGCAAAAGTCGATAGAAGAAATCGTTATATATTAAAAAAATATAACGAATGACGGAAAATGATAAGAAGCTGATCATTTTTTTTTACAAAAAAACATATATCAAAACCTAGAAGATATTTTTATCAGGATTGTTAATTCTGTTTCATACGATTCTGTCTTGGAGATGTTCTTAATTACAAGGCACTTTTTATTTATTTTTTTCTTTTTTATCTACGCTCTGTGAGATCATACCGATCGTTTTCTTCTTTCGAGTAATCGTTTGTAGAAACTTGTCGTAGGTCGCCGTTATTCACTAAAAAATTGTACTGTACCAGATTTTTGGGATATATCAATGGCCATAGAAGTTTCATCCTCCTGTTTTTCAATTCGAATTATCCGATCGTTGGCGTAGAAATAACTGTTCCACGATACGTGGTCACGAAGACAAATTACGTCATTGCTGATTCGTATTGTTCACTGATTAGATTTATTATAGTTAGTTTGGTTGTCGCCGAATCAGACACATCCACGGTCAAAGCGCATCTCGATCATCTTTTCCGGATCTCCTCTGGTTTCAGACGAAGCTGGACATATTCTATCTGCTTCGTTAAAAATTGATTTAACGGTGTTCTTATCTCCACGTTTTCCAAACTGAAATTTTATATCATTTTCAAACTGACAATTTCAAATTCAGCTTCGCTGATTCATTTTTTTTTCTTTTGTTTAAAACGAAAACACGTTATCTATCATCGGATTATTTATTATCGGGCACATAGCGAATCGTCGACTTTGGATGTGCAATACAAATGACAAACACAAAATGTAAATGAACGTTCATGCATTTTCATAAATGCTAATAAAAAAGTACACGTAAAACAAACTTCTATATAAAGAGTAAATAAACACTTGTGTTCTTACCGATCACACTCGCGTATTACAAATATGCACTCGATTTCGATGGAAAATTTAACGTTTATGATTCTGTACCTACATATTGTATACACTGGCGTGCAGTATTTCGACACTCGGTACGATCCAGTCGAAGAAGACTGATATTTTTATTACATCCTCGACATTATTATACGAAGGATGTTCCTCGCTTGTAGCTCGAATCAAATAGAAACGTTCTGCTAAATTGAAACTGAAACAAGACACCACGACACACAACAGCGTGGATCGAGCTTCATATTTATATCAAAGAAATAGCTGACGTTTCATAAAATCTGTGCAAACTTTCAGAACGTGATCGAGGTACGCATACGTATTCCGAATGTTCTAACATCTCAACGTCGGACAGATACGCTTTTAAAGCCACTTTAACTTACGTAGGTGTGACTTCCGTAAAAGCGATTCTCATTCACTTTTCAGTTTCATTTACTTCGTTTAATTTTATGCCCTTCTATTCGTACTAATTAATATCAATCATTGCTTTCATTGATAACTACTAACCATAGGAGGTATGGTTTGCCTTAGGCGAGATCAGCAGCGAACATTAGATCAAAGAGCTTTATCCGAAGTATCTGCGTTTTGTATATCAATGGTAATTTAGAATGTGCGAACGTTTAATGTACGATAGTGAAGGTACACACCTGTATTTTCACTATTTTTCCTGTTATCTTTCTCTTTTTACCGTTACGTGATTACGAAGTAGTCGTAAGTAGAATAGCGGTTGATAGTTTCGGACTAAACGGTCCTGGTGCACAAGTGGCATACTTAAGCGAAGATCTATCGTGGTGGGGCGTTTTGTGAAACCCTCGGCGACCTTTTCGTGTGACTAAATAGAAAAAGAAGATACCGATTTAACAATGCGAATATTATCAATAACGTGTAGCAATGAGCATGATTAATATAGTAAGAGTATAGTATTTAAGAGAGTATTTCGTACTCCATGATTCGGTGATCATTAACAGTATGTTTATGGGCAGATATTTTACAAAGATAATATTTCATGCAAAATATTATACAACAGGCATTGACGTCGACGATATTTTTGCTAAAAATTCAATCAATAAATCTTCTATTTAACGAATAAATTGCAATCGCTTTTGAATGTTCTAATGGTATTATAATAGAATGGAAATTTTATTCCGATTCAGTAGAATATTGACTCATGTCTTAATTATTATTCAAAGTGGAATTAAACAAATTCCTAGGTTCTATATACTTTGTTGTATGTTTCGATATTTCAATTTTCCTCCTAGATATCTCATTATCTTCGTTCGCAGAAAAATATTATCCCTGATAAATTCGTCTGCGGCTTCATGATAATTCTTATTTTTAGAATTTATACAAACGATTAATTTATCCATTCAATTGATACGCCCTCTTGCTTTTATGATCATTGTCCTGTTTTTCTTCGTCTTGAACAGAAAATGATGTCAATGTGACTCGTTTGTGTTCGCGCTAAGTTACAGCCGTTTCTCAATTCTTCTTCTCTTTTTCGTCTGGCTTGCCTAATCTACTGGATACTGAGCACGATTCAGACGAATTATTTCCCTTTCTTCCTTTCTTCTCTTCCTTTTCTTTCTTTGCCACGATTCCATCGCGATTCGAGAGAAATTTCATGAAAGGAAATGAATTTCCTACGTAATATACAATTGCATAATATTTATTTTTTTTTTTTTTTGCACAGAGTACACTTTTGTTTGCGTAGACTGAATCCTCTCGTCATTCTTCGTGGAAAAAAATAATACACGTTTTTAAGTGTCCTCTACATTGTCAAATAAACGTGGAGTCACTTTGATTAAATGATCTTTGATATGTGTACTCTATCGTTTATGGAACTTCGCTGTTTACGAAACGAGAAGTAATTATTGGGGTGGCAACTAAGTGATTGCGGGTCATGTCATTACCACCTGACGACAAAACCCGCAATCATTTAGTTGCCAATCCGATATTAATTATTAAACAAATTAACAAATAATTCGCTGTCTCTTTCTTTGCTTTAGCACGTTTATCAGAGTGTTTCCATGTTATTGCACCGCGTAACACCGAATAAGATTAAGCAACAGAGCATGAAATTTCTTGAAACAAGAAGTCGTGAAATTTTGTAAAAAGATCCTTATTCCCCAAAAACTTTGTTATGTGCCAAACCGTAATGGTGTTAATTTTGTCAAACGTGACATTCTCTATCTTCTTTTGAGCAAACGTGAAATGATCTCCATGAGATTATTCGATGGCATTCGTAGATTTGTTTGCGTCTATCGCTGTTGTAAATTGAAAAATGGAAATAATCTATGAATATGAAAAATGATTTATTTAAAAAATTATCTTCTCGACATTGACGCGTATTTTCGTGCCGCATGTGTTGTCGATATTTTCATTCGAGAAATTGGATAAATATTGAATCATGATGCAATCGTCTCGATCTATTCCAAAAATATTGCTAGTCATAAGTCAAGTGAGTACGACAAGTAGTCGTAGTTTATTTTACCTCATTTGTGTAATACGAGACTTCGCGATTAAAATCTGTGACAAATCACAAATAATTCATCGCACATCATTAAAAATCAGTAGTTATATAAGAGTTGTTAATTGAACATCAACAGTTTCCAAATGGCCTTATTTTAACCATGTAGTTTGTTAGTCAATATTTCATTATCGATAATCAAGATTAATTGGAGATCAATCGTAAATCGTATCGATTGCGTCCAAAATTGCTAGCGGATATCGAGATAATATTTTTAACACGCGAGAGAATATTTTCGTACATTAAAAAAAAAAAAAAAAAAAAAAAAGTCAATAATTTTCATCGAGAATACAAATAATTCATCGCACATCATTAAAAATCAGTAGTTATATAAGAGTTGTTAATTGAACATCAACAGTTTCCAAATGGCCTTATTTTAACCATGTAGTTTGTTAGTCAATATTTCATTATCGATAATCAAGATTAATTGGAGATCAATCGTAAATCGTATCGATTGCGTCCAAAATTGCTAGCGGATATCGAGATAATATTTTTAACACGCGAGAGAATATTTTCGTACATTAAAAAAAAAAAAAAAAAAAGAAAAAGTCAATAATTTTCATCGAGAATAGTTGGATAGAAGAACTCGTAATAATTTCGTGCTTAAACCTTATTCTGTCATAGTCGATTAAATTTCATTCGATTACAGATTATATTTATATCCATAAAGCTAAATAACAAATAATTGTATCCAATTCATTTCGGTCGTATCGCCGAAAATTTAACTAATTCGATTAATCTAAATTTGAATGAAACGTGACACACAAACTCGTGTTTTCCGTGGCAACGGTAACGACGAATTCTCACAGGAGAATATTCTGTATATGATCAGACGATGTTATTTAGCCGACAACGAAGTTTGAACGCGAATATCACGCGACGAACGACGCTTTCGGCGCGTTTCGTATCTGATTTTCAATTCTCAATGAAAACTCACAGAATCGACACTGTAGTTGATGTTATACAAACGAAACTCTAACGGGCAACTGTACATTAATGATAGTGCAAACGATACATTTTCGCGTTACTAATTTCACTTTTGATATCATTTTTCTGATTTATGGTTTCATAAAAACACGATTATGTTGTAAATAATATAAGGTGAAACAGCGTAATAAACATCGATGACGTCAATTTCAATCTGCAATTAATACGAATCTGAGCTAATACCAATGAAAATGTTTCGCTTTATCAATGACTCGATTAACATAATAAGCTAGATCAAGGAATAAGGTCACATTCTTACGAAGAATACACGTTATGGAACACGTGTTAACTTAATTGCATGACACGTTATTCGAAACATTGTTCTACCAGCAGAGATTCAATTACGGTAATTGCTGCTTCGCTTCAGTTTCATAATCACAAAAATCAGTTTTGCTCGTATGTTAGCCTCAGAGTTCTTGTTACCATAATCCAATTCCTATTCTCTGTTTTCTCGATCTGTCAATTTCGGTTTTTCGACCTTTGTCTCTTTCTTTTCTACCCTTCTAGCTAGTTTTTTCTAAGATTTCAGGATTATTCGATATATTATATTCAATACAAACGCAGCACAGAGATCTGCCTTTTTTAATCACCAGCCGCAAGATCACTTGCACGAGCAATGATCGACGTGACATCGAGCTTCACTGACTTACCAAAACTTTGGAATCTCTACACGTTGCATTACCCGAACAATTTAAGAACAGATAAGTTTAGAATTCCTTTACTTGAAAATAATGTTGAATCAAAAATCTACGAAGGTGGAGGAGGTCGATCTACGTATTCATAAACCCTGAAACTCGCCTCAAACAAAAATAGCGCTTAGAAATCCAACGTTCTCTCTAACTTCCACGAAACTCCTAGCAATGAAAATTCTTTATTCTCAACTATATCGATATAAATATAATTCTGGGTTGGTGTCAACGTCTGTTCGCCTTCTAGCGCATTCTCGAACCTCATTTACGCGGACTTGTTTCTCTTCATCGTCGTTCTTCAACCTGTCACGGAATCGCGTGAAAAAGTAGAAACGCGCGGAAAAATTGTGAGAAAGAGAAACGAGCCAAAAGAATTATAAACAATCTTATTCTATTTTTCCTCTGTCGTATGAAACTTACGAATCCTTGTTATTTCAAAGCACTGTACACACACAGAGAACGATCCTCGGAGCTTCGTCTCGAGTAACAGTTCGGGTACATGTACTCGTCGCTATGTTTCTCTCGAAACTCGAAATTTGAACGATTGATGTTAGAATTAATGAAACTTATAAACATAACAGGTTTCGGAATTTTTATTCTACAGTTGTCGGAAGGCGCTTAAATATTTTTTTAAATATGATAATGAGATTTTATTTATGCGTTATTCTGTTGACATCATTGTACTTTTTCTACCGATTAAAAATGTTTTCTGATTACCATATTGAAGATAGTAAAGCGTTCCACGTGGTGGCATTGATGCACGATGCAACAAGAATTTAACGGAGACCGAATACGATAAACGGCAGTTGCGAGACTAATTCGAGATTGCCACGGCACTCGAGTACAAAAAGAAAACGGTTTTCGTAGTTGTTACGAGTGGGGCGGCCGAATTCCTCCTAAGTATCACTTGCTTTCCTTTGTCCTCGTCCGACCTTTGCAGATTCAGGTTTCCACTGCTGTCCAGACACTTGCCACCACGTTCGGGTAAATCATTCGACCATTTTCTTATCGATTCATTTAAATTTTATCGATCAATATATATCATCGCATACGATTTTTATAGTTCTTCTTGCCTTCTCATTAATTTTAATTTGTCATGTCATTTAAACGACACGTGGTTGACCTTAATCCTGTGCTAGAAGCGATATTACTACTACCATTGTGATGCGATTTTCCTATCAGATACGAACAGCGATGAGATAAATCGTGAACAATGTTGGACGAGAGAAGGAGGCGCAAAATATCCAGGTAATTTTGCTCATTGGCATGTTCAAATCGAATTTCGCAAATGGTTTAACGTAACAAGAGATTCCATATGATAACAGGTGGTGAAATTCTTCGTTTTCTTCGTTTCCTCAATAACTTTGAGCATCGGTGTGAATAGTGAATTAGCATAAATTAGCAGCTATATTCTTGTTACGTACGTTCTTCGACTCGAAATAATTAACGTGTCGTTCGTCGTTCTCTGGTCTTTATACTGTAAGATTTACGCTTGGGACACGCCTTGAGAATTCTAGACGATTGTAATTCCAGTGTTCGAAGGAACAACCAAGCGTTTCATTAAATGCGAAACTTTCTGTTTCGCTAGGCCATGCGAGCGTGAAAACCGCGCGCCAAGATTTCGCAAATTCAGTCACGTGTTAGAAAACTATCTAAAAGTGAATTGGGATGTTTAATTAAAGTTCTGAGAATATTTCAAAAATATTTGCAATCTCGATTATGAAATTTATTAAATCTTGTTTATTAAAATTAAAATATAACAATTTATCTTATTTCTTAGAATTGAAGATAATGTAATTTATATGCATGTTTCTGCATCAGTTTCGAGTCTCCTTATGGAAAATATTCAGTGAGTTGGTAAATTAAATACAAAAGTGAAAGGCGAGATGTAGCAATTTCAATTTCGAAATAATAGGAAGAGAAAAGGGAACAAAGGTTTTCGTAAGAAATGGTGGTCCTATGTTTACGGTTACGCGTGAGCTTTCGTTTATTTGAAAAAAATATTATTTACATTGCACAGATATATCACTAGCGTCGTTAAAAAAACGAATAAACAATCGGTATTCCTGAAAGCTCTTCGCACTTAGTTTTGAAGGAACAAACAATTTTTATTCAACTATCAATCATAATGACAAACTTGTCTTACGGTTAATATCCGAATTAATCCTCTTATAAACTTAATAAAAATCAATCGTTGAAATAATATGTTTCTTTTCTTTGAGATACACAAACAAAATCAATTATCATTAACAAATTATTAAATTTTTAAGTTGCGCCAGTAGTTTCTGTCTGCCTAAAAAAAAAACGGTAAATATTTTCATAAAATAGAAATTTCGACATCTAAGAACCTAGCTGAATCCTTAAAGTATCTTTTATTCAACCTCTCTTGACACGCACTCTTCGCTTTTCTATTTTCTTCTTTTATTTGCTTACATTTACTTTGCTTTTTCGTTCAAAATCTTGAAACAATTAAACGTTTCTTCAACTGGTGATCATATGAAAGAGCTTCCAGCGATGCCAAGGAAACGATCCTCGAAAAGATTCTAGACAAGAAAGATAAAAAGAAAAGAAGAAAAAGGTAAAAAGAACAGCACAAGCTTAAAGAGAAACCATATCTATATATATATATATATAAAAAAAATATCGCTTATCTTTTCAAGTAACAAGTCAGTCGAAAAATGTAACATACCGGGTTCGCGTATATTTTCAGTCAAAAGAAACAAAGAGAGGTGACTCAAGTGCGTTTTGTCAAAGGCTATCGTTCAACGACGATCTAACGACATTTAATCGTGTAAATTATTATATAAATAGCCATAGAAGCGTCGGTATCGTATATAATAATCATATCGATAATACTACTAATAATAAAAATAATAATAAGAATAATTGTAATTAATAACAGCGTTACATGTGTGTAAAATAATTTCTAACTGACAACGATAATATATTCAAACGATCTCGCCCCTCTGACCTAAATATGTGATTAAAAAAGAGAGAGAGAGACAGACAGACAGACAGACAGAGAGACAGACAGACAGACAGACAGACAGAGAGAGACAGAGAGAGACGAAATCGTGCTTGTTTGCTGCGAGAAAAGTTTTTTTTTTCATTTTTCTATAAGGTACAATTCTTCCGGTCTTCTTAAGTACTGAATACAATATTATCGTCGATACGAGCCATTATTATTGTTACTTTTACTGTTACTTATATTCATTTTACATTGAGAAACACGCCTGTAGACCATCGCGGAAGAAAGCCTATCTCGTAATCGTTCTCCCTTGAAACTTGTTCCATTCTATTCCATTTCTATTAGTTATTTCCTCTCGTTCATCCTTTCCTTCCTCTATCGATATATATTTAGATTATTACGAAAGCTAATTCGTTTATATCGTTTATAATAAAATACATTTATATTAGTCCTGGACCTCGTGAAATTTCTCATTGATCCTCGTGATTTACATGAAAAGTGATATCACATCGAGCAACCTCATATAATGTTTCGATCGTTTATACGCCAACGCGAGAGAGATAAGCAAAAACTCTAATCAGTGCCTGTTAAACAATAGCAGACCATTTTTCCTTATTATAAAAAAATAACATTTTGTTCCTTTCATTCGCTTCGAATGCTAACAACTTGCAATCTATGTCGCGATTTCGAATTCCATTAATTACAATGTTTTCGCTCGCTGCATCATAATATTAGACTGTTTTGAGATAAGTTTTTCATGTATAGTCGCTAAACTGATAAGATGTACAAGGAGAATTGCGATAGTAGACGAGTTCCTCCTTTTGGATATATCAAATTTTTATCAAAAATCCTAGATCCGTTATTTCCAATTAGTTATTTAAAATTTGACAACAAATCGAGCAATATTAGAAACTTGGAAACGTACGAACCTTTCGGAAAACAAGTTCGTCAATTTCACTTTTTATAAATTTCTCATCTTCGTTACCTGTCCTTGTCCCTTCTGATTCACATTTAATTGTTAAAAAGGAAATGACTTTTTTAAATGATTTGAATGACTTGAATTAATCTTTTTGTTATATTAAATGACAAGGAATCTTTAGACTCATGTAACAACACCTAATTCACAATTTGCATATAAAATAGTCTTTGTATATGTAAACCATGAATCATAATAAACAAGATTGTATTGACATTTTTATGCTAGATATAATACTAAACGAATCTTTCTGGACTTCTCTTATGAAGATCTTAAATGAAAGATATCAAAGATGAAAGGTACAGCCACTACATCTCCTTGTATCTCTTGTGATTCAGTAATCACTTTATGCGTTACTTATCACAAAATAGGCTGGTCCATTGAAAGCAAACGTATGTCTCATGATCGTATAAGCAATAACTTCTTATCCTCCTATATTACTCCTTCAAACGATAGCCACTTACATGAATAGCAGTACGGAAACTTAGTTAAAATTTCACCCCGCTATACGTAAATGTAGCTCGTTACACAGAAATGCAAAAGTCCGATAATCACAGCAAAGGGCACAGTGTATGAACAGAAACTATCTGAGGAGTATTTTCTAGTTACAAGCGAATATAATGCATCCATTTAAATATTCGAATGCAACGGGTGCAGTCTCACCGCGCGTGAAAACAGCAAGCATTTACATTAATATATATGTATATATATTAACATCTCATCTCTGCTATAAGCGAGAAAACTATCGTACGTAGCTGAACGCGCTATAAACGAATATACGTTCTATTTGACATTTCTATATATCAAAATTGATTTCTTAATAGCGAAATAAATCATGTGTGATTGTGTATATTGTGACTATGCACATCACATATTTAGTATTATTTATACGAAAATGTTTGCCCTTTGCGTTTCTCCTGGGATACCCTGTATCCATCGAATTAATTCTAACTTCTTTAGAAAACATGTTTTGAATCGAATCTATGTTATACCTAGAAATGAAGTTATTAATTTTTGGTATATTCATGTACAAATGTTTTTATAACGTACGAGAAGCAATCATTTTTACATAAAATACCAAAAATAAAAAAAGCTGAAATGCAAAAAGAACTTTCCCAGTAATGCGACGCAAACGGCTTAAATATAATATAACATGCTTTCTAAAATAGAACAGACTCAAAAATTCACTCGTATAAAGAATAAAAGATATGGTGCGTATAAAATCCCTAACGCTATAAATAATTTCTATTGCAAGCGCTTGACACGATGATAATAATCGTCTAAACTAATTACATAGTATGAAGTTTAATGTAAATAGCGTAATATTAACTTAATAATGTTATGTACTAACAATGTATAGTTTAGCAGTGATATAAAATGTTCAATATCAGGTTGTACCAATTCATGTCGATAATCAAAGGCGCAACGTTTTCACGAAGTTGTCGCAAATTTAAAAAAAAGATATAGAAATGCTATCGAGAGCATTCTTATTTTAGAGACATTACGCGTAGTATCGTTTCTATTTATAAAAGTTACGATATTTCTCGAACTTTTACAATAAAACAGCATAATGTGCAATAGTATGAAAGATAATAACAAACAATGAGAATAAGAAACGTAAGACCGAGTGTAATCGTTGTTTCTAACGTTTTTTTAAAAATGTAATCCCCATTTTATATAGTCGATATGAATTATTTTTTTCGTCTCTCACGCTAATCTTTGTTCTCAAAGTTCCAAGTATAAAAATTCGTTACGCGTAATAAATTACAATTCACCACAAAACATCTCGACTACTTAAGAAACAACAATTTTTTTCTTCTTTCAAGATGTAAAATAAAACGGACGAATTGTATCGAATGTATAACTATTTTACAAAAGTCTACGTTAATAATCCTCACCCTATCGATCTTTACTCTGTAATTTTATCGATCTCCCAAATAGACAGAACTCTGTTTTTATCGAGATTCGTCTTCGTTATAAAATGCGTAAATCAGTCACTCGTTTTTGTAAATGAATAAAATATGTTATGTAGTACAATACCAGTGACTCCTGCTTCAAGGCGATGATCGCGTTAGCAATGAATTGGATTAGTTAAATAACATGCACAATTACACGTTTGATTAAAAAGATAGCACGGGTGAGAGTCTTTGGAGGAGTTTTCGGTTGACGATCAAAATCGTTCATCGGGCGTCCTTCGCTGTTAACTTCTCTATTAATTCTTGCAGTGGCGCCAATTCTCTTCTTTCTATCAAGTTAAATTCCTATAACAAACGAAAGTAATAAAAGATCATAATGGAGCATATCTATATTTGTTGAAGGTTCATTTAGTTTTGAGTATTTTACCTGAACAAAAAAGATAAAATGTTTGAATGAAGTATTTAAATGTGCTTCTTCACCAAGTTGAACCACTTCGCTGAAGTGTTGATGATAAATATGTGCATACACTCTGAATAATCTTTTCAATATTGTCTTGGCAATGGACAAGAAATTTTTTGGAAAAGGGACTCCTAAGAGATTATAATTTTATCAGTATATCAAGTACGAAATTATCTTATCCAACAAGATAATGTGACTGACCGATTTTTGAAGGAAATAAGGTTTCATCGTCTAACTGGTCCTGCACCCAAGTCATTAAATAATCAATGTACTTTGGTGCGGAACATTTAATTGGCTTTTTCACAGTATGCCCATCAGCCCAATGGTATTCATATTTAGGTCCTGCAGACATAATGGGACAACTTTCTTCTGTACAGAACTCTGTAATAGTGCCATATAACATATTGATTTGGTTGAAAAAATCAACAGCTGAAACAATATAAAAAAGTTAGTTGTAATTTGTTAATTATTACAGGTTGGAATATATAATAATATGCTTGTAATACATACTATTTACTGCAACCCATTCATTTAAATCTTCACCTTCTGGGAGCATAACTGCAAGTCTCAAATTTCCAGAGCCTAGAGTGGCTGCTGCATGCTTCATCAAGTCATATTGATGAGTTCCCTCAGGGATATTCTTCTTTGGTTTAAAGGTTTTCGAAGACCTGCTTCCACTTAAAAAGCCATACAAATGTATTTCAATAATTGTTGTATTTGTAAAAATACAATATTATATTTCAATAATAGTTAATTTTAAGCAATTTGTATTAATTACTATACTAGTAAAAAACACAATCAGAATTAGAAAATTTCTATTTGTACCTATATTTTTTACATTTTTGTTTACATGTTCAATTGTTTACAGATTGAAGTATTTTATTACAAATCATATTCGCAATTCGATTGAAGACGAAAACAAACATCAGTTGATCATTCGAAATACAAATACAGGAAACGCATAAATTTAACGAGTGACCAAAACGATGTTTAGGGCGGATATGACAAATCGATCGGCCACAATTGCAACTAAGAACTTGCCCGATATCGCATCAGGAGCGTTTAAAAAAATTCTACTTCCACGGTGCAATCCAATGCGATAAGATATGTCCCGTGGCGATTAATTTGACGTGTGACGAATATGCGCGCGTGCAACAGAGCACGAGTGAAAGCATTAGCTAAACGAGAGGGGTGAAGATCGTGTGAAAACGGAGGATTTTTCAAAGAAATTATGGCATCGTGCTATTTTTAGATATCCACAGATTGGTCGATCGCGATGTACTTGAATTCAAGAGTACATCGGGTCGGTTACCTAAATTAGCCGAGAAGGTAATATTTACGAAACTGGTTGACCAGTTTCTGTCAATATCTGCCCTCACTCCGATCGGTCTATGGTAACAAATCATCGATTCCTTCTTTGCTGTCATTTGTCACTTGCAAATAACATTGGTGTGATATCAGGCGATCGATTAACAGGAAAACATTGAGTGTTCGGTAAGCTTACTTTTTTGAATGCATCGGAAATTTAATGTTGCGATATCAAAAAGGTAAAAGCGTTATAGTAGAGTAAAAGTCGATTTTCATTGGAAACGGAAAAAAAACTTACAATAGGAAGCTCATTGTGCACTCCTGGATGACCTGTCGGTGAAATTCAATTTACTGCTACACGGCTGCACGTGTCGTTGATTTTTGCAATATTCTACAATATTATGAGATTTAAGCTGCAAACGATCCTTCTTAACATGCACCATACACTCTCTCCCGCGACAGCACGATAGACGTTTTGTCAACTACCTTTTCTGCAATCACCTCGACTTCAATCCTTCCACTGTTGAACGGGATTCTACTTCTTTAGATTCGGTCACGACCTCTATACAGACGTGATCGCAGACACGCAGTTTCTAATTTTTCCTGTTACCTTATGATTTATATCATTTCGACGTTTAAAATGTCTTAGCCTCTGCGAAAATCGCAAATTATATCGATATACTATTTAAGTAACTATAGTCCAAATATTTTACTATGTGTAGCACGATCGATATAGCAGGTAAAAAATATAGATTGTCAAAGTTAAATAAGTTTAGGAACGCTAACATGGAGGACTTATTAGTACTGCGCATTCGCCTTAATGCATTTCAAATATGACCTGAAATTTTCTCTAATATTACTGGCGCGAATTGTAAATTTTATGAACTTCTAATATATACTTTTAATATATAAAACTTAAATAAATTCTAAAGAAACCAGGGACTTTATATACCATAATGTTACAATATAGTACATTTATGTTTATAAACCGGCCATTAGTTTCGTTAGGATAGACGCCATTTTGCAGATAGTTTCGCAGAGCGTGGCGTTGGCTAAGCGTTTGCTGTCAATTAAACTTAATTTGTGATTCCTTCTAACTTGTAGATCAACACTAAGAAACCGTAAGTATGAATAATAATATTTACAATATATGAAATGAATATATTTTGGTGACATAAAACAAAGACTAGTATATTACCGATACGAACAATTCTTCGGTAAAGAAATATCTTTTTTTCAAACTTTTCTTCCGACTATATTGCAATGTTGCATTTTTTAACGTATATATGTATATATTTATTTATTTATTTATTCTTGGAATTTCAATAACAAGTTACAAAATGCTACATTTTCACATTATTTTATTATTTTGTTGGATATTACTGACCTTCAAATTCTTGAATGACTGTTCTCATAAATTTACTATTGCATAAATGATGCAATATCTTTTAAATATAGCAAAAATTTAAACAATAAAAAAAGTAAAAAGGAACAAATAATATACAACTATTTGTTATAGTATATTGTACTTTAAAAATAAATAATAATTATGCTGTGTATTTATATTGCTTTTTATTTAATATTTTATAATGTATAGGAAAACATTAGGATATATTTATACAAATTATAACATAGTTTATTTTAGACTACAGAAATGTCGAATGGAAGTGGAGACCATGATGATGAAGGCTATGTTGTTAAACTACGTGGACTTCCATGGTCTACTACTGTTGATGAAATCATGAAATTCTTTAGTGACTGTTCTATTACAAATGGTAAAAATGGTGTACATATGACAATGTCAAGGGAAGGCCGTCCAAGTGGAGAGGCTTATGTAGAAATGGACACACTTGAAGATATTGAAAAAGCTTGTAAAAGAGATAGGGATCACATGGGTCATCGTTATATAGAAGGTTTGTTATAAAACATAAAAATAAAAATATTTAAAAAATATATAATAAAATATGTCTCTCATCATAGTCTTTAAAGCAAAAAGAGGTGAAATGGAATGGGTAGTCAAGAGAAGCGGTATGAACCTAGAGAATGCCATGGATGATGGTTGCGTGAGACTACGTGGTCTACCATTTGGCTGTTCCAAAGAAGAAATTGCTCAGTTCTTCTCAGGTATTTTATACCATACATTCAAATCTGTATCTTTATTCATTTTTTTATATTATATATTACTAGAAATTCACTTACACCTTATTGGCGATCAATGTGTTTTGTTTTTTCTTTTATTTTTTATAATAAAATTATTTCCCTATCGTTTGATTTTTGTTAATCAAATAAAAATCTTGAATCACAGAGACTAAATGCTTTTGATGGTTATGATACATATGAAGTATATAAACAGCACAGCTTTTTATCTCTTCATAATTTAAAAGAATGGACATAGGTGTTGCAAATTAATATACAAGAGACATATATCCTAGAATTAAATTATTAGAGAATAAATATGGGAATAAAAGTATCTGGCAAAATAATACACATATTACAATAAGTGTCTAACATTTCACTAGTTTTACATATAAAAGTATAAAATTCGTTTTATGCCCGTCCCAAGCAGTGTCTCTGTGTTTCTATAATCACCAGATGGCCTTAGTTAAGATTTAAGGAAGTAAAGTCCCTACGCTTTATAATCCTTTATAGACTTGGAAAAGGAATATTTATTATAATTTCCATGCGTGTTTTATATAATTGTATAAAAATATCCTTATTTATTTTATTTATATTTTTAAGTTTTGTATATAGAACTTAATTCTTAACTTCGGCATAGTTAACATTTTCTTCTGTTTTGACTTAATTGAGAAAAAATGTCTATATTTCTGGAGCGAGACGTTTTGCACATAATGTGCAAAGGATATTTTAAATCTTGCTTCTTTATAAGGGTTTTAAATAAACTGACGATACTATAATTAATAATGGGTGTTACGCTACAATGTCGATGTTTGATTATGTGTGGGTCAGGGTTGGAGATATTGCCGAACGGGATTTCACTACCGACAGACTACACGGGCCGCAGTACTGGGGAGGCTTACGTTCAATTTGTTAACAAAGATGTTGCGGAGCGCGCTCTGCAGAAACACAAGGAAAAGATAGGACACAGGTGGGGCACTGACGCTAGCTGGGTTTGGGTATACTTATGACTTTTCAATATCATTTTATGATTGTAGTACATGTAGGTATATAAATTTTGTTAGTAAATAGCGGGAGCGAGTTTTTATATAGATGCAGTTTCTTTAATATCTTATTTTACAAACAGAAAAATACTATATAAAATAATTTATTTATTACTGCAAATAATCTGGAATAAATTATATTATTAAAACGTATTTACTAATTTTGCATTCGTATTATTCTATTCATATGCTATTATAGAAGTTAATTGTATAAAGAAACTGCTTCTTTTTCTAAACACAAATAAAAAAAAGTTAGTGGTACGTAAGCGAAAGTACTGTTGGCCCAACTGAAACCTATGGGTGGGTGCCGGGCGGGAGGTACCCCCTTACATCGTCACCAAATCCCATGGGAGGTGGGTAGGGCTAACCCAGGATGGGTGGGCGCTACGGAGGTAGTAATCATCGATCTAATTTGGCACACCTGTTTGACAATTGCACAATTGTACGTTTTATGCGAGACAATGTAATAATTTGAACTCAAAGGCTTTGCACAGTTTTTCTTTTGTAACGTCACTATTTATAGTTGATACATACAGCTCGTTAATTGCACGGAAATATTTCATTATCATCGTCATACGATAAGATATGCTAACTTCAATTATTTTAGCTTTTTTCTATTTTTTTTTTAAATTAAATATTTAAATTCGAAGTACTTTCTTTTAGTTGTATCGCTTCTCGATACTTATATATTGTTTCCCTGATCTCTCTTCCACTCTCTCTTTCTCTTTCTCTCCTGAGTTGCATAAAGTGCAATTGTAATTGTCATATACCTGAGGATCATCAACATCTCAATGGCTAGGGTGACATAAGATACATCAGAATGCAATGTCACCGAGGGAGGGTATCTACACACAGGTTTAATATATATGTGGAGGTGTAGTATGAACAGTTAATCCATTACAAAATTCTCAGTATGGATTTTTTCTTCGAATCACGTCGTTTTTCTTTTTATTTTATTTTTGTTTTCATTTAATCTCCTAATTTTTTATGTTGGAACAATAATTGTTTAGTTCCATTACGCGAAAGGTTATTTTCAACATTCGTATTTCCTATTTATATCCGTCTTCGTTTAAAAGTGCGCTCTAAAATTAAAATTTTATGCTCATTGATATTTTTGCATTAAATTTTCTCTTATTTGAGAAGGCAGCCGACTATATGAACGGCAATAATATTTAAACGAGAATAATAATAATTAATATTAATCTTAACAGATACATCGAAATCTTCCGAAGCAGTTTGTCCGAAGTACGTGCTAGCATTGGACCGAAAATGCGAGGTGGGCCAATGGGTGGTTTCAATCAGAGACCAGCACCCTATGACCGAGGCTCTCGTTTCGGAGGGATGAATCGTTTTAGCAATAATAGCAGAGGTTCTAGAAATAGAGGTACTACACAAATTCGTTAGTTATTTAAAATGTGCAATGTCACTTATTACATCATTTTTCACTTATTATTGTTTAATATGTTTTAGACTTTGATGGTGGTCCATGGGGAAGTGGTAATAACTTTGATTCACGCGGAGGAAGCATGGGTATGAGAGGTGGTTTGGACATGAAAGGTGGAAACTTCAGAGGCAGCGGTGATACATGGGGTGGTAATTCCGGTATTCATAGTATACACATGCGTGGATTGCCATTTAAAGCCACTGAACAAGATATAGCTGATGTAAGTTTATAATTGAATGAAATAAATGTAGAATATTTTATTAAGTTAATATTTTTACAATGAAATTTGGCGGTATAATTATAGTTCTTCAGACCTATCGAACCGGTAAATGTTCGAATTATTCTTGAAAATGGTGGACGTCCTTCTGGAGAAGCAGATGTAGAGTTTGCAACTCATGAGGAGGCTGTTAAAGCCATGTCTAAGGTTATTTGAATAAATATAATTGACATTGTGATTTTCAATTAATAATTTTATATACTAATTATTTTCTGTCATAATGTTGTTATAGGACAAAAGCCATATGTCTCATAGGTATATTGAATTATTCCTAAATTCAACTGGTGGTTCAAGTGGAATGTCTTTGGGTGGTATTGGAAATTTCTGTGGAGGTACTTCCTAATTGCTTTTTTATTATTATCTATTCTTTAACATTCTCGTCCTTATTAAATTTTTACAATTTTGTTATATTAAGCAAATATTCATTAAAGATTTATATTGTTAGGTTTGGGTAATAACTTCAGGCCTGGATATTCTCCAAACAGAGGCTTCAGCTCTCAACTAGGAGGAAGTAATTATAATAGTTTTTGAGGTCGGATGTCGCGTTTCTTGCGCTATCGACGATGAAATATTTCTTAAATCAAAGATTTATTGAATTATAATTATATCACAGTGAAATTTCATTTTCATATTACGTTCAGTTAAAGGTTAGTTACTGTTTCACTGTTTTTCGTATTACATACGAAATCATTAAATAGAATTAATAAAGTTTGTTTTAGTTTATATTATACTTATATAAAATCGACAAATATTAATTAGTTTAATATTATTTTAAGGGACGAATTTTATTGATCGGAATT